AGGGATGGGGAAACACCTCTTATCAACAGGGTGCCTGAATGAAACGTAATTGTACACCTAACCCTTAACTGTACCCCACAAAACCATAATAAAAAATATTGATTATGAAAAAAAAGGATAATCAAAACTGCTTCAAGTTTGAGTTTGTGTAACCCACCCAGAAGTCCTATGAGTGTGGTCCTCATATCATCTCTGCTTACACATGGGTAAACTGAGGCACACAGGTCGTTTGACCAAGACTGTGAACGAGGACACACCCTGACAATGCCCTCTTGCTTCTCAAGGATGTGCAAACATGCGAATGAGAGAGATTTCGGGTGAGCGCCTATTTGGGGCTCAGCCCGGGTGAGTTGGGCTGACTCAGGCTCAGAGCAGAGAGAGGGCAGATTCCGGTAGAGGAGTGACATCCGGACCCCTTTTTAATGTCTAGGCCCATGCCAGACTGGATTTCCCTAGGTCGACCCTCTGTTGAAAATGGGCTGACCCTTCCAGGAGGTTGTGGTGCAGTCCGTGATCGGCAGAGCCCGTGCTCCCAACCAGAGACGCAGCAGTGCCAGGCCCTCAGGGCTCTGAGGTAGAGTAGAGGCCAGGCGTGGTTTTGACCATACCTTTGCGCTTGCAGGTACGTGTCTTTCCACACAGTAGTTCATGTCTACATAAAATAAGCAGGCAGCAGCGTATACTTGCTTCTCAGGAAATGTGGATTTTTTCAAATTTTGGTTTTCTGTATTGTTTTGTTTTGGCATTTGTATTTTTTGAGCCAGATTCTCCCTCTGTCAGCCAGGCTGGAGTGCAGTGGCATGATCATGGCTCATGGCAGCCTTGACCTCCCAGGCACAAGCGATTCTCCCTCGTCGGCCTCCTGAGTAGCTGGGACTTACAGGTATGCACCACCACACCTGGCTAACTGTTTTATTTTTACTTTTTTTTTTTTTAATAGAGATGAAGTCTCACTATGTTGCCTAGTCTGATCTCGAACTTCTGGGCTCAAGAAATCCTCCCGCCCCAGCCTCTTAAAGTTCTGGAACTGCAGGCACACAGCACAATGCCCAGCTAATTTTTTCATTTTTTACAGACGTAATCTTGCTATGTTGTCCAGGCTGGTTTCAAACTTCTGGCCTCAAGTGATCCTCCCACCTTGGCTTCCCACAGCACTGGAATTATAGGGTGAGCAACCGCATCTGGACCTCTTTTCAGAATTTGGATGTATATATCTGGGCTATGGTTTTTAGGAGTTGGAGAAAAAAGTAATTAGCTATGAATGACTTGATTCAAATATCAGAAATGGACCATGGTGACAGTGAGAGGTGGCAGTTGTCATTAAGACCGAAGTGCCAGCCGAGCTCGGTGGCTCAGCCTGTAATCCCATCGCTTTGGGAGGCTGAGGTGAGTGGATTGCCTGAGCCTGTGGGTTCGAGACCCGCCTGGGCAACTTGGCGAGACCTCATCTTTACAATAAATAAAAAAATCAGCCGGGCGTGGTAGCGCACGCCTGTAGTTCCAGCTACTTGGAAGGCTGAGGCGGAAGGATCACCTGAGCCCAGCAGGTCGAGGCAGCGGTGGCTGTAAGTGTGCCACTGCTCTCCAACCTGGGCGACAGAGTGAGACTCCGACTCAGAAGACAAGACTGAAGTGCCAGCCACAGCATGCAATTGGGAGGGGCCTA